GTGCCATCGTATGAGTTCTCCATGTCTCGCTTCATCTTTTCTTGTGTTCACTATGTCTTAAATCCTATTAGTGTTCTTCAGCTCTCTTTGAGCCCATTTTGTTTATGATTCAAAAGGTTAATTGACCAATGTTAATTGCTATTTCAGTGATATGGAATCTCCAGGGCACATATTTGCTGCTTTGCACTTTGTGTTGCAAGTTGTCCTTCAAGCTAGCTCATATTCTATAAACTATTTTTGTACAATACTTTAATAATTGTTTTTGCATCTATGCTCACATCTGGTTTTTGAAAACATCCACATTGCATCACTTCTGCAATTATATCTGAGGCACTGATACTCCATCACAGAATCCCAAAACTCTGCATATCTTTTCTCATGCCTTACCATTGCTTTGGCCAATTGGAGCCACCCAAATATTCATTGCCTTTTTTTCCAAAATGATATATTTATTCCATTCAAATCAAAAGAACTTCATAGGGGCTGGGTGGTATGACTCCATTTGGTATATTCATACCTTTTCACTCTATTAGACTGTCAACTGAGTAATGGGAAGGGTATGTCATGTTTGACGAGGTAGCTAAGGTTTTGATTTCTTGACTAGCAACCCTGGAGAAGAAAAAGTATGCAGAGTTTTAGGAGGTAATGTGTTGGAAATTGTTAACTAAGGTATGAAGAAGTTCATCAGAATTTGAGTAAAAAAGAGAAAGCCTTGATGAAATTTCACTATCAATAAAATTATCCTGATTCTCAATATTCCTGGTTTCTTTTTTCCAACTTGTTTTTGTCCTTTTACTCCTTGAAGTCTCATGCTGGGGGAAATTGCTGGCTACACTGCTTTTGCTTGCTCAGCATTTGTTTTGATCGCCTGTAGTGTCATCTGTTCTCATCTCATTCCTTGCCTTAAGTATAAGCTGTTTTCAATATAAAAAAATTTCTTTTCATAACGAAATTAATGGGCAATGAATAAAGTCCTTGAGAGGTCTTTTCCTTGACTGACATGCTTGCTCAGTCATTCCCTTGAAGCCACAGGAGACGAGCCCAGACACGGGGAAAGAGGAAGGCTCCAGTTGCATCTGCTGATTTTTGCAGCCAACGAGAGGAGATTTTGCAAAATTGTACACAAGCATGCAAATTTTCATAGCCTGATTCCCTTATTTGATGTCCCCAGTTTGACGTGGGTGGAGGTTCTCTGCACTGCAGTCAAACTGCCATTCCTAGCAGAAACTTTTGATGTCCGTTTACCCTGTGATTCGATCCAGTTTTTGGCACAATACCGGAGATGTGTTTGAAGAATAAATGAGATTCTCCCACTTCTATCCTCATACCCAAATAACAGCAAATAAAAGCCTTTTCACTTATTCAACATTTTGGCTGTCTTCATCTATTTCCATTGCCTGCTCCTAAAAAAAAATTAGACATTGATGCTTAGGGAGACTATTCCGCTTATGAAACTTCTTGCCCTTAAAAGCTCTTAAGGAAAAAGTTAGGGATGTCATGAAATCTTAGGATCTGAGTAAAGTCCAAACATTGAAAATGAATGTATGTCTGTATTTAAGAAAGATGAAAAACGAGAATCATTTTAGACTGATTGATTGCACAAAGAAGCATCACAAAACATATGCACGTGAAGTCCTATTGTAGAGCAACACCTATATCCCTTTCTTTACTTAGAGTTCGGGCTGCTTGCATAACGATGTTTATTTCAGACATTGGTTATCGATAGTCATAGTTTGAACATTGCCTACGAAAACATCGGTTAAACGCTGCCTACTTTCGATTGCGTGAACGATCCCAAAGCCATGTTTTCATTGTATCCCATGAAAATGTCGAAAACACACATGTCGACTGTCCGATTGTCGATTACAAACTATGTCGAATTCCTGAGAGTCGAAGGAATGAAATGTTGAAAGTCAAAATGCCGAAAGAGAGAAAAGTCGAAGTGATCTTTTATTTATTTCGTGAACGAAGTCTTAAAAAACTTGTCATGCCGAACATGGGGAAACTGCACTTGGTCCAGAAAGAAAAGCAAGTTAATTGGCTGTTACAAATTTGATAACCTCTGACATGCGGCATTCAAAACTGAACATTGTGTCACTGCACGCAAGATTGCAAGAGCAAAATCTCGCATATGGACTTGGAAATCTGGAAGACAAAAATAATATATATGAATATATTAAATGTTTTCAAGATTTTTGGATACAATTGTTGGCAACATAACTCACATGCACATAACGGGGCCTTCAGAGAATGTATTTTGCATGAAATAAATTGTCTCAGTTTTAGAGGCAGCGATTCACCAGGTCCTCTGCAATGAAAGGAGATAAAGATTGGGATGGTCGAATGGGTAGGGAAGAACTCCCCAGCATGCCACACATACACTCCATATTATTGTTACAGTTCCGTGCGTGCTCCTCTATTGGTGGTGGGAATCACCACACTGTAGGTCAGGGCTGATACAAATCAGGGTTTATTAAAAACAAGGCACAGCGGTTAAGATCGCACCAAGGGGATAAAAGGGATAAGATCACGTCGTTGAGCGGTTAAGCTAGTACACAAGCAATAGTCCTCGGCCAATCAATGATCCTGGAAGATGACGATCGGGAAATCTACACCATGGGACGAAAGGGGTAAAGGAATCAGGAATGCCTAATCCCAAGGGGTGAGAGGTGTCAAGGAATCGGGATTGTTTACTCCCGAGGGACGAAAAGGTTCAGGACGTCGGGAATGTCTAATCCTGCAGGGTAAAAGAGTAGAGACTCATTACCCATGGGTGATAAGCGAAAGGAATAGATAAATGGGCTGTAATCAGCTCTCTTCTCTCGACCGCCAAAAAAGGGAACAATGGGAATCCTCACTCCTCAGGCGCGTGCGATCTTGCGGTACAGGCCATCCTGTCTTGGCACTTGGACGCTGAATTACTGGATTAAAATGTAAGCATAACTCTGCCTCTAGTCTGTGAGTGCCAGACGGAAATGAAAAGAGAGGTGATTCAGAACAAAAGACATAGAGGGTTACTAAGAGAGATATCTCGATTGGGGTCAAGGGTCAGAGGTCAGGTGTGACACCTAGGGGGTCATGCATACACTGCGGTCTCGCTGGGCGACTCATAGAGAGCTCTTCCCTCGCATACCGGCAGTCCTGCTAGGCCACTCGCCATGTTGTGCCTGCTGGGCTGTTACATTATTTTTATTGGTCAGAAAATTATTATTTTCATCTTTATTTCTTATTCACCTGCTCAACCATGTCTTCCAACATGAATAAGGATGACTGGAGATGGTGCACTGCATAAAGGATTTTCTTTTCCTCTTTGTATCTTGCCATGGAGTGTAAACAATGAGGTGGTAGATGTCATTACGGAACATAAGAATGAACTGCTCTTCTCTGCAATTATATTCTTCTCTTGCTCATCAAATCATGAACATATAACTCTAATTGTTTGGTAGACACAGCAAAAGATGAGTGGCCGGTTTATTTATTGAGGAACAGCTCTCAGTGAGCTGCTCCAAGGGAGCCTTGGTGGAAATACAGGGAATCTCATTCATAGAGACATCACTAATATTTTTTTATTGGGGAATGGGGAATGTTTATTTGTGTGCTTCTAAATGACCAACTTTCTTCAAGCAGGAATGCAATCTGCTTACCGTTTCTGTCAATGCTTTGTTTAATAGATGCAGTGTAAAGCAACTGCAACAAAGAATGATTCTGCCAATAACATTTTCCCATAAGTAATATTTAGGATAAGTATAGACATTAAACAAACTGTGTAATCCACAAGGTGTGACACTGGACATTCCAAATTTGATTCCAAATTAAAGAAGACCATTGTGAACATTCTCAAATCAATTATCGCCTTTGCAACTACGTCACCATTTCGTACTGCTAACCAAAGACTAGAAAGAACAGAATGTTTTTAGCTGATTTCAGAAATGTTATGATTGCATGCCAGGAATGGAAGGACCTTTCCCGGCGATTAAAACCTGTGGAGTCAGGGTTTTATGTTGTGAGGAATGTGAACGTCATACTGTAATTCTGCATTTTGAGCGATGGAAACCACTCGAGGAAACTACAATGAGGTGTTCTCTTTGTGGAGTCTGTGTGAAAGCAAGTTGCGACGTATAGCCAAATAGCCAGTATTTCAAGAGGTATGCTTCATATTACTCAATTCAAGGCAGCAGAAAGGAGGCCCTGCTGAGAGCGACTCCACCATCCCCTGACGAGTCCGGTGCGAACTCTAGTCTTCTCATCCATCCTAAAGAAGGGGAGATGGGAGGGAAACTTCGACTCGCCGTGGAAAATCCCCAAAGCAGTTTGATCAACTGTGCATTTCATTTGCACATTTGCACATCCTCCGATTATAAGGAAGCTGCATGATTTAACCCCAAGTTCACATTTCAGAGCGTTCGGCCAGTAGAGCTGCCACGCAAAAATCCAAACACACAATTGTCGCTCGGCCTACCCAGCAGTCAAAATCGAAAACGCGATGGGTTTGTCCTGTCCTCAAATTTCAAAATGGAAACATATGCATATTTACCTAGAGAGTAATTCTGATGAACTCATGATAGACACATGCTTAGACTTCCTCATTAGCATTGGAATGTGAAGCCAGGGTTATCAAATGTAAGAAAAGGGTGACAGATTTAGATGCCATGAAAAAAAGGGCATTCTCACATGGACCTGATGGGAAGGGCAAATTACATGAAAGGGTAGAAAAGAAAAAAAAACGTTCTTTTCCTGCTTACCCGGATTGAGCGGAGATAATCCTGCAATGTTCCGATCTAGGGCCCAAAGCAAGGGTGCAGTGACATGGTCCCATGCAAGGTTTACCCTGCCTTGAAAAGTGATTTTGCTCACGGAAGAGATTTGCTTGTTTGCATATGCTTTAGGCATGTTCTTCGCAAATATCCATGGTGCGGATTCTATGAAAATGAGACTAATGTAACAGAAATACATGGCAAAAAATTAGAACAACCCCCTGAACCCCCCTGAACCCCCCATACCTCGATCCATCCGATACATCCGATCCATCCAATCCATCCAATCCATCCGATACATCCGATACATCCGATACATCCGATCCATCCGATTCCTCAGATACCTCAGATCCATCCGATGCACAAGAGGTAGAATGTTGACTGGTTTTGAGGAATCATCCGAAACCAAAAGTAACCCTAGTTGCTGGGTAGGCATGTCTTGAGGTATGAAAGTCCCTGGAAAATGAAATATGATTTGCAAGATCAGTGGAATAAAATATTGTAAAATATGCATATGCACCTGTTATGAGCAAGAAGTTAAATTTTGCATAGAAGCAAGTGGAAGAAAGGGCTTGAGTGGGCCCAGTGAGGGGAAGTAGCAATCGGAGGAATGAATAGAAGAAAATATTGTAAAATATGCATATGCACCTGTTATGAGCAAGAAGTTAAATTTTGCATAGAAGCAAGTGGAAGAAAGGGCTTGAGTGGGCCCAGTGAGGGGAAGTAGCAATCGGAGGAATGAATAGAAGAAGTAGCAATACTCCAGTTGAAGATATTTACAAAATATCAAAACTTTAATTGGAAATGTTTTCTTCGCTACTGTATCCTAGGACTTCTTTCAAAGACCTTTGCCTCTGCATATTGAGACTCATTTGTAAGATGTTTCAAATATGGTATGACCAGGAAGAGGAGGTACATGTAATACAAGTTATAAGAATAATACGGAATTGTTGTACTTAAAGGAATTGCTTTTGGGTAAATCTGATAGAGACAGAAGAATAATGGGTCTCTTTAGAAGATTTGCTGCTGCCTGAAGTAGAGGTAGAGGGTTGTCTTGAACATCTTCCCATTCCTCCAAGTTCTTCTGTGTTCGCATTTCGCAAAAAATGAATGAATTAATCACTATCCAAGATAATGGACCGCCAAAGGCGCGACCATAGCGAGTTTGTTTGCCCTTGTGTGCTAATGCACACAAGGGCACTGTGTGATAATGCACAATAAAGTTCCTGGATCATTGGAGAAGTATCAAATTTATGGAGAGTCCACAAAATCTGCCCTTCTTTACCTAATCATATTATTAGTACAATGGAAGGAAGGATCGAATTCATAGACCCTGTGTCGTTCTATTAACCTTATGTAGAATGCAAGCGTCTAGTCTTAAGGGGTTCTTTTAGGTCTTGAACATCTTCCCATTCCTCCAAGTTCTTCTGTGTTCGCATTTCGCAAAAAATGAATGAATTAATCACTATCCAAAATAATGGACCGCCAAAGGCGCGACCATAGTGAGTTTGTTTGCCCTTCAGGCAAACAACTCCCTATTAATATATATTTCTCCTTTTGAAGTAACTGTTCCTTCCCTTCCCATGAAATGAATGAATGATTAAGAAAAGGTTAGGTTTCATTACATCAGGGGTCTGCAACATTGGACCCACATGGTCTTTGCTTTCTGCTCGCCTTAATTGGCAACGTCATAAGTGCTACTATGACTCCTGCCCTGTTGGTTATAGCCATGGTCAGCAAGACTGCAGTCCATGGTATGTGAGTAAAATTCACAAATGGGGGTCATAGTCTTATAAGTTGTGGGCCGCTGGCTTTGATTGTCTGTGTCAAGTGACATAAACTTCTTTCAAAACTGATGTGGCTCATAAATGAAGAGTGCTTCCTCATGAGAAGCACTGGTGAAAATGATCCCAAATTCCGTTTTCTACTTGTGTTACAACTTTGCCTTGTATCACATGCAGTCGAAACTTTAAAATTATCCACCTGAACTTTGGAGCTATGCCTGTGTCCAATCTGAAACCTGTGAAATATTCCTTTCAGGATATCTCACCAGAAATGTCATGCAATAATTTCATCGAATTTTTCTCCATTAAAAATATATTCCTTCCCAATGTTATCATGGGGGAAATGAAGAGGAAAGTGACGGAAAAAGACCTTAAGGAGAGGAACATGGAGTAGTGAGCCAGTGAGGACAAGGGACAATGCTTCCAATGCTCCTGATCCCTTCCTATTATGTCCCAAATCCAGGGGCGCTGGGGGGAGTTCCTTTTCCATCCACTCCACACCTTTCTCTCTTATGATTTTAAGGATTTCTTCCTTTTTCTTTCCTTCGACCTCAGGAACCTCTCCTTCGAAGCCTAGAAGTTGCAAAGAAGATGGATCAATGAATGTGGAACATGAAACCACATTTGCCAATAGTACAATTGTTGATTGCAAACGATGTGGAATCCTTGAGCGTTGAATGAATGAAGCAATGAAAGTGAAAAAATTCCATGAGAGAAATGTAGTAAGAAACTTCTGCTTCCTCTGTCGGTGAATTCTTCAAAAGTTAGTGAATTAAGTCCTTAAATCATTAGTCATGCAGAATATGTAACAATGTGAATTTCGTTAGATTTTTCATATGAAATGAAAAACATCTATTAGCAACCAATGTTGAATGAAAATGGTGAAATTGTCAAAATGTCGATTGTTATAATACCAGAGGGAAAACGTGAATTAATGTAGAATCTTTGAGATTATGAAATCCTCTTGGGGTCTATTAAGTTCATTGGATCTTGATACATGGTGTTTCAAAAAAGGCTCATAGGGAGATTCCATTTCAAATTAGGCAAGTCCATAGTTTTGTCAGGTTAAACTTCATTCTGGTGTCATTTTTCATGATTTCATTTAAATTGATTATAGGCTGTATTGCCAATGTCAATCGAAGTTGAAAATTTAGGAACATTGATAAATCATTGCTTCAAATTTCCATGGTTTGTGGACAGGCGCGTTGTCATGGAGAAAGACCCCATTGACAACTTTCCTCAGCGTTTTTCCTTGATGGCATCATGTAAATTTTTCATGGTGGTAGCATAGGAAACGCCAGTGATTGTACACTCGTCTGGCATGAACTCAAGCAGCAGTAGTCCCTCGCTGTCCCAAAACACAGTTGTCATAATCTTTCCTGTAGATTTCTGAACAAGAAAT